ATGGATGGATGGATATATGGATGCATGGATGGATGGATGGATGGATGGATAGATGAATCAATGGATCAATGGAAAAAATGAATGAGTAAATCATCATAGTCACTGCCCTTAGCAAGCCCACCAGCCTGGACTACTGCATCAGTTCCACCCTAGCTCCCCTACCTGGGGTCTCTCAGGCATGTCCCCGAGAGCTATAACAAGTATCAAAAACAGGACCACAGAACCATGGCACATAAGTCTGGATAGAATTCCAAGATAACAGCACCCTCTAAGAGGGTACTGGGAGTGCCAAATGAGACAGCCCATGGGTGGCAGATGCCACTGTCTGCTTACCCTGTCACAAAGCCAAAAATAATTCCCCACCTCCCTGCACTGAGAGGTGGGCATACAGCCTGTCCTGACCAATGGGGAGGAAGGAGATGTGGCCTGGGCCTCTGAGTAAGGGGGTGGGGACTCGGGTGAGGGGCAAGCTGTGGGAAAGAGACCCCTGGAAGCCCTTCAGGCTGCAGTCATGGCCAATGGGAAGTAGGTTTGAACTGAGATATTTATGTTTCCCAAGGCAGGGTGTCTGGGCTGAGAGACCCCTGGCAGGTTACCTCGGCAGCCTGTGATACCAGGCTCTGTTTCTGTTCTACCACCTCTGAGTGCTTGCAGCTCCTCTCATGAGGCCAATGTCTTCGTCTCCTCGCACTGCTGTGCCAGGGACAGAAAGCAGGAACACTTCCTGAGTTGTATCCATCTGTTAGTAGGAAGTAATTCCTTCCCTGAGCTCCCCTCAAGACTTCCTGGAGCTTAGCCAGAACAACACCATAAATCAATCCCTACATAATCTCCAGTGGAGGGATGACACCACTGTGCTGGATTAGGCCAATCCCCACACTCTTATGGGCTGGGGAGGACCCTGCTTTGCTGGAGGACAGATGTATGTGGTCACTTAGAGGACAAAGACCACTCTGAGGTCTTGTTAGCAAGGATGTTGGACAGGGGGAGACAGGAAGTAGGAACATATTTTCCTGTAACAGTACAATCCTCAAGCTGGGCTACATGGAAAGACTAGACAGAACACAGCAGGCACTACTTCTACCCTTGCTACACCCATGGCAGACATAGCTAAACCATCACAGATCTCTCTCTGTGAGTCTCTGAATCCATTGCAATGCAATCCGAACAGGTACAAACAGGAAAGGGTTAATATTTGGGTTAGAATCAAGAGGGTATCTGTGGATCTTCTTGATGACAAGAAACACTGCTGTCTTACTAATCGTATTGATGATTAGTCATTAATAATTGTACTTTAACATGACCTAACACAAGGCTTGGTATACTAAAGTCTCAGTCCATTTGTGCTTCTATAGCAAAATATCTGAGACTAGCTGTATTATAAAGAACAGAAATGAATTTTCTCCTAGTTCTGAAGGATGAGAAGTCCGAGACCAAGTTGCTGTTAGGTTCAGAATCTGGTGAGGGTCTAGTGTCTTTGTTTCTAGTCTCTTTGTGGCTGTGTCCTCTGCAGAGAATAAGACATGGCATCCTCACATGGTGGAAGGATGGAAAGGCAAAATACTTCTTTCCGTCTTTTTCATAAGTTAAGAATCCTCCACAAGGGCAGAACCCCCATATTGTAATCACCTCCCCAAATCACTCTTAATACCACTACAGTGAACACTGTTTCAACCTGAATTCTGGGGAGAACATAGTCAAATCTTAGCAGATAAATGCTGTGGAACAATGAATTTGTTGTGATCCAGTAAATTATTCAAATAGATAACAATGACCCTAAACCAGAGCTCTGACATCATAGTATAGCAAATGAACCCATCATGACAGCCCCCTTCTCTACCCCACATCACCTTCCCTGTACCCAGTGCCCCTCTGCCAGCAGCCCTAGACCCCATGCACACTTCTGCTCTGCTCCTCAAACATGCTGCTCCTCAGTTCCGGAAGGCCTTCCTTCTTTTCCTCTTGACTAATGTCCACTCACCTTCAAGCATCCTATGGACTGCCCCTCCTCTCTCATTCTCCCTTGACTATCCTATACAGTCAGTGAAGTGTCTGAATACGGGCTTGCCCACCTGAGATTGTGGCTATGTCTGTCTCAGCAAGTCTTCTAGATCAATTTTCTCATCACTGCGATTAGGTGGAAAGGATCCATTTTGGCTCCCAGTTTGGTGGGACATGTGCCATCATGGCAGGAATGACATGGTGGCAAGACTATGGGGCTGCATACTCTTATCTCAGCAGGGAGGGAACAGGAAGCAGGGCAGGGTTATAAACCTCAAGGCCCTCCCTCCCCAGCAACCTTCAGCTAGAACCCCCACCTCCTAAAAGCTCTACAGCCTCCAGAAACAGCACCGCCAGCTGGGGACTGAGTATTCATACACCTGAGCCATTCCACATCCAAACCACAATACCATCCTCCTTCCAGAAGTGCCACCCCCCAGCCTGAGGTTCGACTTCTGTTTGTTCTACCAAAGTGTGGCCGCTCTCCCAATGTTGCTCATTAACATTCTGACAGTGGTGAAATAAAAATATTAATATTAATGAGTGAGACAATGTGCTAGCCACAGCATTGATGCCTCACCTCGGGCATCTCATCAAATCTTCAGGAAACCCTACTGAGCAAGCCCAGCCCCAAGAGTCAGTCGGAGCCTCTCTTCACAGGAAACCATGAGGTCATACAGGACACCACTCAACTATCCCACTCCCCAGGCAATGGTAAGAAGACGTTGATAAGTGAAGATCAACCACACAGAAAGATGCGAATAGCCTCAGCAAAGCAGAGTAGACAGGACATAAGCCAGCATTCCTGGAGCAGGAGACTCAGACTGCACTAGAGGGAGGAACTGGGGACAGACAAGGGAGTGGAACAAACCCCATACAAGCCTCATGGCAGCCATCCACCCTGGCAGGCGTGCTGCCTCTGCCTACTGGGAGAGCAGTGACCAGTCACAGGGAAATGCCTGTCAGAAAAGACCAGTGTCTGGTCAGCTGTGCACCTACCTGCTTTCCCCTCTTCATTCACTTTGTGTACAGCTGGCTCCTTCTCCCCTAGTTCTGTACTGTCCCTGCCATGTGACCTGGATCAAGAGTGACACCCCAACTAGCCCAGCACCTGGGGTTGGAGCTTCAGGTTGCATCCCAAGAGAGGACATGACTGCTGGTCAAAGAGGGTTGGAATTGTCTTTCATAAAGACCTCACTGGGAACTGAACTCTGCTAAAGGAGACAAGAACGAGATTTCCCAAAAGTTTCATAGCAGGGAACAGCAGCTCCATTCTCAGGAGTCAGCACAGAGCTCTATTCATTACAGGATGCTAAAATTAACCTCAAGCCAGAGATGCATCCCCAACTGTAAATTCCCAACTCAATCACAGCACCCAAGTGGCCACGTAATACCTTATTTGCTAAAATAGGTATCAGCCTGGATTTAGCATAAGGGCTGCACTTGGCTGACCCTGTTCTCCTGACCTAATTCTACTTTCTAGTGGGTAAGTGTATATGGCTCCACAGCAACTCCAGGAACTGGCCCCTGCCTTTGAAAAAGTGCCATGTTCTCCTTCCCATCCCATACTGGGCTTCAGAGTCTGCATGGAATTGAGGGCTAGCTGTTATACATGAAAAGAAACCACAAAGGCTCTGAGGGCAGAGATCAGCCACCTCAGCTTCCCCGAGGGTGAGCTGGAGAATTCAGCTCACAGGGAAAGATGATGCAGGAAAACCCCACTTCCCCTTGGAACATCCACCTACTGCTGCCCCTTAGCAAGTGATTTCCTGCCATGCTGCATTTGCCATCAAGGCAGAATGAGGGCCACTGCTAATGAGACTGATCTTCCAAACCACGATGACTGGCTGGCAGCTGAGCTGGAAGCCCTGGGGTCACTTGTTCAAGAACAAACCACAGGCATCTCTAAGTAGCTGGGTGTGAATCTTCCACACTTGGTCTCACACAGGAGGGTCAAAGTACTGCTAAAATAATATTGAAGCATTTCCAACCAGGACCCATGAGCGCTGTGCTTTTTAGGTCCGGAATTTCACCCCAACCCTGTTCTCAACTGTGGCTCCTGAGCCTGGTGTGAACAGAATCCCAGCCAACCTCAAGGAAGAAATGCCAGCCTTGCTAGGCCAACGCAGCAGACACGTGGGCAGCTTAATGGGCTCTGGGACCCTGTCCAGCTTCCGCAGGTCAGTCCTCATCAAGGCTCTTTTAGTCCATCTGCGTTTTAAAGTTTGCCAATCCCCGGACCACCTGGGGACTCTCAGGGCAATGCCAACTAGAGGGTGCTGGTTCCTGAGCATCTAAGAGCCCCTGTTCCCAGCACACACTCCTGACACATTCCAGTGAAACTGTCCTCCCTGAGTACAGCACTTGGACCCCAGATGAACACAGATGGAGACAATAAAGGACTAGAGTTCCCTAGGAGCTACTAGCAACAGAAAAGGATTCATGTAAGACCCTAAACAGCATCTCGGGAGCCATTAGTAAAGCAGGAAAACAAAGCGCCATGTAAGTGTACTTCCCTTGTCCAAACAATGCACATCAACTGCACAGGGAACGACACACTTAAAGGCACTTCATATTTCTTTAAGGGATAAATGCATTCAGAGGAGGGGCTGAGGAGATGATTCAGTGGCTAAAGCACTTGCCATATAAGCATAAGAACTGGAGTTGAATCCCCAGAATCTTAAATAAATATCAGGTGGCTGTAGTGGCCCAATCATAATTCCAGCCTTGGGAGGCAGGAACAGGGGATCCCCAGAGCAACCTGACTAATGACTCTGGCCATATTGGTGAGTTCTCAGTTTGATTGAGAGGCCCTGGTAAATGAATAAGGTGGAGGAGCTATGGAGGATGATCCCAGACATCTTGGGCCTCCACATGCATGCACATGAGCACTCCCCCAATATGCATACCACACACAAGCAATATATATGTGAAAATGGAAAAAGAAAGTAGTCAAAGGCAATTTCTTTATGAGCTGTCTTCATAAGCCTGTTTCTTACCATGGCGAGAGGGACGATGCCCACAAAGCTTGTCTGGCTGATGAATATCTCAGAGACGAAGAGCTCACTCATGGAGTCCTCCACTGGGTACTCCACCTGCCAGGTGATTTGTTGTGCCCCGGCCAAACCACTGCTGTTGTCGACACCAAAGTCCACTTGCAGGATCTCATAGAAGGAGCCATTTGCCCTGGAAAACAGACAAATACAAGATTTACTATAAAGCACACAACTCTGCAGAAAGCTAAGAAGGCAGTCCATCACCATGGTCCTCTTTGTCAATCGGGCATTAGACTACCCACTGTAGTGAGTGCAGACTCATTCACAGCCCAACCAGGGGTGATGGCAGCTCAGGTTGGGCACACAAAGCTTCCCTATGGGAGAGATGCTCTTCTTGAGTGAGTGCCTGTGTGCACTGCCTCTCTAGGTGCACTCCACACAGCCCTCTGCCTTCCACACAAATCCACACCACCACCAGGACATACACAGAATATTCTAGAGCCATTTGAAGCAACTCCTCCAGCCTCAGTGAAGGAGGTGCACCCTGGATTCGATCTAGTTCTGCTTCTCTAGTTCTCTCTCAAATTTACAACTTGGGGAAAATAATGGTAATTTTGTGGGTTTGTGGAATTAATATGAGATCAATGGTGGGAAAAGTCATCACAGGCCCATGGGTTACAACAGAAACTGTGAATGACAGGAGGTGTCATGCTAGAATTTTCATTTCATCAGCCCAAAATTAGATTAGTTATACTGTACGAAAATCCCATCTATCTGCCTTAATTCATGGTCTTAAATCATTATATGTGTGTTTGAGAGAGGGAAGAGGGCAGATGGAGCACAAGTGTTATTCGTAATTCTTCTACATGCAGGAATAGTCTTGCAAAGTAGAGATGCTAATTGAAAAAGAATTATCAAAGACAGGGTCAAAACAAACAGCCATCAGCATGGGTCTGTGAATGGATGCTGTCCTGAGCTCAATCTTCCTTGACTGGGACCCAGAGGGGTTGATGGCACAATAGCAGATTCTCTAGCTCCCCACAGCCTAATTCCCTGGCCAGCTCATTCCTTCTCTACTGATGGGTCTATTCTGAGCCTCTATCATGCCTCATAGAGGCTAGCAGGTTCTGAACTCTGGCTTCCCAACGCTTAAGTCTGTAAGGAAAATATTGGCTGCCCGCTGCTTGACCAGGTGACAATGTCTACCATGGACAGCTCCCCACACCAACACTGTCCATGAAACAAGGAAGAGGAGACCCTTAACCCTGTGTTTTCCTTTTATTCCAAGAGGTTCCAAAGACAACATTAGACATCTGAATACAGCAATGCCATAAAGTGTCCCTCCTCCATCTTGGAAGATGGAAGAAACACTCCATCCTGGAAGATGGAATTTCCAGTTTCTCTCTGGGTTTCATAGGCATTCAGAAGACCTCAGAGCAGCTCCTGCTGAGAACATGGGAAGAGCAGTGGAGAAAGCTGTCTGTGGGGCTGTGCTTTAGTCCAGGTTAGCTGTGTGCTGGCCTGGGGATAATAAGGAAGAAAAACATCGGCGGGTGCAATTGTGTGGGGGTCACCCTCCAAACGAAGCACTTCCTGCTGCTCCCTGACTCTCCAGCCTACAAGCTAGACCAGTCTTAGGAGCTCCCACAACCAGTGATGAATGGAACAGCAGTTAAGCAGAGTCATCACTACAAGGGTTTATTTAATAATTTTTAAAAAGCAATTTCCCTCAAACCAAAGGAAGGAAATCTTTTACTTCAGGCAGCTAGGATGCTTGCTAATAAGTCCATTTCTATGAAAATGGGCTCATAACTATTAATTTTACCTGCTCCTGATTCACTCTTGATAAGCCTTTCAAATTGAGAAAAGAGCTCTGCAATTCTCTCAATTTAATAGTTGCAACTGCCTTTAAGGAAGCAGCATCTGTGTTTCAGCCATGAGCTGTTCGTGAGGTAATGGGCAAGTGCCTGTGTAGTGAGTGTGCAGGTGTGTGTTTGAATGTATATGTGTGTGAGTATGTATGACTGTGTATGTGTGAGTGGGGGAGCATGCAGGTATGGACAGGGAGTAGATGCGTGGAAGTATATATGAAAGAGTATGGATACATGGGTGTGGGGATGGGTGTCGGTGTGTGTAACTGTGAAAGTGTGGCGGGTGTGAGTGAGTGTGAGGGTATGAATGTGAACATGGTGAGTATGAGTGTGAGTGTGAGCATGTGTGTGTTGGGAGGGTCCTGGCACACAACCTCTCTCATGAAGCCCAATCTTTGGGGAGAATAACAGTACAAGTGGGTCTCTACTAGAGGCCTTAGGGACCCTTGAGGAGGGATTGAGGTACACATAGTGGCTGCAGCTCAAATGTATGTAAGAAAGACAGACACAGACAGGACCAACCCAGTAGCTTGTCCCCAAGGACTGTATCCAGCCATCTGCCAGGTGTCACTCATTAGGGCAATAACAGTGTCTTATAGCAGGGAAAGGAAGAAATAAAGATGGGTGTGGCCACCCACAACTCAGGGACCATTGCAGAAGAGGGGGTGGAAAGACTGTAAGATCCAGGGTTGATGTATGAACATAAGGAAACAGACTTTCAGGCCACTGGAAATTTGTTCGTATGAACTTGCAGCAATGCTGACAGCATGCACAAGACCCCTGCCAACTCAATCAGACAAAACCCAGCAAGGAGCAGGGAAATGGGCAGCAGACCCCAACCCTAGCCAAGGAACTATTGGCAAAAGATTACTATAGGATGAGGGAGAGTAGATATCCTTTAAGGTAGTGACTCTAGATAGGCTGACTAGACTCCAGTGGATAAATTTTGCACCAAGGGACACCTGGGTACAAATACTTGACCAGATAGGACTTAACATATATACCTGAGATCTGGTGGGGGGCTATGAGGAGTGGGGAAGGGGGAGGGGGTTTAAAATTGATTAAGATGTATTATATGAAATGCACAAAAACTCAATAAAAATATTAAAAATGAAAATAATATGGGGGCAACATCTTATTATTTACATAGACATATTTTTCTCCCCACCAACTTCTAGGTGGTTCTGAGCCATTGAGTCAAGACAACAACTTCCTTGAGTGACATTTTCTAGCAACAGAACACCAGAGGCTATCTCTATTCTCCGGTTTGTTTTTTCTTAAGACCCTTTTCCTGGGCATTAATAGTAAAAGTGACCAAGAAGCAAGGTCACACTGAACGATGATTGCCTTGACTGAGTGCTCCAGGACAGGATCTGCCAAGTCCACAGCAAACACAGTGTGAGAACGGACTGCTCCTCCCTTGGGCCATGAACTGCCTGAGGACAAAGGACAGTGTTCCTTACCATTGCTGTGCTTCAAGTGAAAACCATTGAAACTAGTGTGCCCTAGTTTCTTTCCTGTTGCTATGATAAAATACCTTGATAAAACTGAGGGAGAAAGGGTCTATATAGCTCACAATTCCAGGATACAGTTCATCACTGTGGGGAAATCAAGCAGGAACTTGAAGCAGTTGGTCCTATCACATTCAGTCAAGAGCAGAGCGATGCATGAGGTTTGATTCTAAGCCCCCTCTACACTCGCACAGTCCGGGGCCCAGAGCATGCCATGGTGCAGCCTACATTCAGGATGGGTGTTCCCATCTCAATCAGTGCAACGGCAGATATCCCTCACAGATGTGCCACAGGTCAACTCAATTCAAACAGTTCATTGAGACTCTTCCCAGGTGATTCTAGATTGTGTCAAGTTGACAATTAAAACTAACCATCACAGTAAGTAATGGTATAACTCACTCAAGTCTAAAAGGCCCTGTGAGAATGCCCTTTAAAGGTCTAAGGGTTGTCATCTGCAATCTTGGAGATAAGATGCCACCAGCCAGTGGAGTCATAGGCCAGATTGGTATGATCACACACCACTTAGAGAAGACAGGCCTGTCTCCACCTATCATGGCATCATAGTCACACAGCACCTGCCACGTCCCATTGCTCACTAGCTGTGTTTAGCATACATTCTAAGTAGCCACTGAGCAGTTACTGAGAGAAAAATAAAGATCCCTGACTTGCTAGGAAGGCAAATCAGTAAATAAGTCTGCATAATGACAAAAGTTATCATAGAATATTTCTATCAATAGAGATATTGATTTTTTTAATTTTTTATTTTATTTTATTATTTTTATTTTATGTGTATGAGTGTATTGCCTGCATGTATGTGAGTGCACCAGTGTTGTGCATTGCCGCAGAGGTCAGAGGAGGGCTTTGGATTCCCTTGGAACTGGAGTTAAGGTGGCTCATAGCCGCCATGTGGGTTCTGGGACTCGAACCCAGGTCCTCTGCAAGAGCAGTCAGTGCTCTTAACCGCTGAGCCAACTTTCCAGCCTGATTTGTTTTTGAAAGTCATAGCTAGGGAAGTCACAGACCATGGGGGAGAACCTATTGATGTTAATTTCTGTTAATGGTCATGTTGTCAAACTGCCTTCTAAATACATAGGTTTTATATCCATAAATTTCTGCTGCTCTCAACCTTGGTCAGAAAAGCTTCTTACTGTAGTGGGTAGTGGGTTAATGCAGAGATGCATTATTGTTCAAAGTACTAAAAATAAGCAACCATCTTGAGTGCTGAGCTGTAGGTGAGTCCTCTATATCAGCCCTCCTGCTCCTGCCACCAAGGCTCAGGGAACTTTATGGAAGAGGACAGAATGTAAGAGCTGAGGGATGGAGAGGAGGCTGTGAAATGCTGTCATCTGGACATGGCATGGCTATTGCACTCACAGACCCATAGCAGCTGCACAAGACCTACACAAGGTCAGGTCATTCAAAGGTCCATCATAGATGGGGAGGGGCTCCCAAAGTCACACCCCAAGATGAGAATTATTGGCAGTTGATGGCTGCTGGGGGAGGGGGAGTCACCTTTCTTTAGGAGTGTGCCCACTGGTAGATTCCCCATGCCTCAGTGGGTGACCATGGACATATGGGCAGCACAAACTGGACTCAGAGGGTAAATACATCCATACAAAATGACAAAAAGATGAAGTTGGCCGAGAGATAAAATGGAGATCCTGTGGGAAGGAGCAGGGAGTGGATACAATCAACATACATTGTACATTTGCATGAAATTTTCAATGAAAAATTTTAAAATTGACTTTAAAAATTAAAAGATTGGGACTGAAGAGGATAGCTATCTGTTCCTCTCTGGTGCTGATGTT